TTTTCTTTATTTTATTTATTAATAAAATATATTTTTAATTTTTTTTCTTAAATCAGCAGAATCAGCCAATGCAACCACTTCAGCCAGAACTTCATAAATTTCAGCAGAATCAGCCAAAACAGCCGATTTTGATGCTACCAAATGGGCTCTTAATTAATGTTGTATGGTACTATTGAAATATGCATTGATATGCCATTTTAAAAATGAGCATACTATCAGTATCAAATGAGCATATACAACTTTCAAAATGCGCATAATATGAAAATCTTAAGGTTTGTTAGTTGGACGTCATGATATTTTCATTGAGCATCAAACCTTCTATATTGAGTTGAAAATAATGGTTTATGTTAAATGAGCATTAATGAACTTTTAATTAGCACTAGACCTATTATGTTGATTATTAGGAGTCTAATATTGAGCATTATAATCTCTGTTTCATATATTCTAATTCACTTTTTTTTCTTTTATAGAAACTTATTAAATTATATCTATAATCAAAACATTTGCACTTCAATATGTGAATCTAATGTAATATGATACTTTTGAAATATTCATTGATATGGTAGTTTCAAAATTAGCATAACATCAGTACCAATTGAACAAATGTAACATATAAAATGAGCATTGATATGAAAGTCATACTACCTCCGTCCCTTTTTATTTAGCCAAAGTTGACTTTTCCGGTCAAAGGTAATAAACTTTGATCCATTATTTTAACTAATATATTTATGTGAAACTTAATAAATTTATACTTTTATGATAGTATTTTTAACAAAGAACATTTTCATATAATTTTCATATTCTCAATATTCCCATGAATACATATAAAGTCGGTCAAAGTTGAACAACTTTGACTTGAAGAATAGTATTTGACTAAATAAAAAGGGACGGAGGGAGTAAGTTTTTTAGTTGACCATACAGACATTTTAATTGAGTATTCAATCTTCTCGATTGAATATTAGAACCATGTGGTTGAGCATCACGATTTGTGCTCCTGGGTTTATAATGAGCAGAACACCGGTACCAAATGAGCGTACACAACTTACAAAATGAGTATCGAAAAACAACCAAGATCTCATTTGTGCATACACATTCATTTTAGGAGTTATACTCATTTGAGTTTAACATAAAATTGATTTGTGTATATGATGAAGTGGCTGCGGGAAATAGGAAATAGGGGTGGGATTTTGGAACCGGGAACCGTAGAACCGATTGGAACCGAACCGTTAACAACATCTAGGAACCGAACCGTTAACAATTAATGCCTCATTTGTAGGAACCGAACCGAAGCGGGTTATAACGGTTCCGTTCCCGGTTCCTATAAAAAATATGTGCATGGAACCGTTAAGGAACCGTAATTAAAAAAAATAAAAAATAAAATAATATTAGTAGTAGTAGTAATAGTAGTAGTAGTAGTAGTAGTAGTAATAATAATAATATAATAGCAATAATAACCACCACCACAACCACTATAATAAAACAACATAAGATATTTAACTAACAATTCTAATTTAATCAACGGAAAAGAAGTAATAAATATTGTACATGAGGTTGATATAATACATTAAACTCCTTTCTACAAATCAAGTTTTGTTCCATCACATAAATTTTATAAATATAAAATAACTCAAATAACTTGTAGTTGATTGCACATATTTTACTTTACTATTTTCATGATATTTCTAATTATTAGATTTATTATGAATCAATAGAATGTAATAATGTTTTTTATATCTATACATGCAAACTTAATGTCTTTTTTATATGTTTTGAAAGACTTGAAGTAGGCGCCATATTCTTGCTACTATGATGATGAGTAACCTTCATCGCTCCGACACTACAACGATTTTTAATGTTTCATTTATCACATGAAAATTTAAATCACTTTTGTTCAATTAAGTGTTCAAAGTTCATTAGTTAAGTTTGAGCTTTGATGTTTGAAGTGATTAGAGCTTTAAATTAAATTTTAATACTTGTGTTTTGAATTTTCGACGTGTTTATGTTGTTTGTAGAAAGTAAATTATGTGTTAATTCTTAGACGAGAAAAAATTATTCTAGGAACCGATAAAAGGAAGAACCGAACCGTTTACTACCGGTTCGGTTCCATAACGGTTCTTGATTTTTTATATAGGAACCGAACCGATTTCACTAGTTAAAACTTTTATAATGGTTCCACTTATTTTGAGTAAGAACCGAACCGGTCCCAGCCCTAATAGGAAAGCCGACGTGATGAAATCCATTAGTGTCTTCCCCAATGACTCTGACAACATACACACAAAATTGAATGAGTAGAGTTCAGAATTCATACAAGTGGACATTAATCATATCGAAATTCAATTATTTGGAGATGAATTCATAGAAGTGGAAATTTGATGGTTAATTGTGTTTTGATTGGTTGAGGTTTTTTTTTAACGTGAGATGGTCTTTATTGTGATGTGATTTGATTGCTTGGTTGCTTGTGAAATTAAAGAAGCAGTAAGAGACGAGGATAGAGCAACGATTCCAACGAAGAAGAGAACTGAGCGAGCGAGAGGCATATTCGCCGGAATGTGGAAGAGTCTAGGACAAAGCAACGAATTTGGTTGTGGTGAATTGCACCGGTACAGATATAATTACAAAAATGGTCGGCGTACGATGCTCACCGTACAGCCAGTTGTACAGTATAATCACCCCCCTTCGTTCTTCTTTTCTTCGTTAGACTAATTTATTTCTCCACACCGTACCTTTCTTCTTCCGTAGTTCCGCGTCACCTGGGACATCAAACCCATTCATTTGTTTTCTTTTTTCCTTTTTTCTTTCATTTGCTTCTCCATGTGCTTGATGGGCGACTCACAGCTGCGCGACAGAAGACCCCCACCGGAACACCTTGTCAGGGGTTCTGTTCCGAGGCCAACAGAATACCCCATGAGGGATTCTGTCACAAGGCCAACAGAAGACCCCATGAGGGGTTCTGTCACGAGGCCACCAGAACACCAACGAGGTGTTCTGGTGGCCGTAGGCTTCTGTCCGAGCACTTCTGCCGCTGGGAAAAATTAAACGTTTCGGGAAGAAAACAAAAATTAATCACATCTCTTAAGAGATAGATTTTTGGACGACATTCGTATCCACAGGTCGCCCGCGCTCGCAAGTCGCGGTTTTTCTTCTCCGATTTCGGGATTTGATTTGCACCCCCCTGCGCGCGTGGAGAGAGCCTTTACCCTAAGGAATCTTAACTCCTTAAGGAGAGAGTCCCTTTATAAAGGGTTGCAAATCCCTTGGGTTTTCCGGTGTAGGAAATAACACACTAGAAACTCATCCTTTTTCCCAGTTTTCTCATTCTAACGGGTAAACTTCGAGAATCAATTTCTCATTCACCCGTTATCCATTTTGAGTGTACCATATATCGAATTGTAGCTCTAAGCAAGGACAATCCGAAACCACTTTCACCCGACCCAAAATGGAAGTGGACCCCACTCAAAAAATTGCCCCAAAATTACCATTTAATGCAATTTTAACACATTTTTCCAACACTTTAAACATCATAAAACTTATATTTCATTGAATTGTCTAGACTACTAGACTATTTGTATTTCATTGTTAAAATTTAAATTTTTTCTTGTCTTAGGGGGCCTCAATTTGCCACTTGGAACCGGGGCCTTCAAATTCATTAGACGGCCCTGTTGAAGAAGAAGGGTGGGCAGAACGGGTTGGGGCCTGGGGGAAGGAGAAGGAAAACAAAGTAGAAAAAGAAAATGAATAATCGATCCACGTGGCTTTTTTAACCGGATACATACCTGCTAGATATTACATTTGAATGTTTTCCATAGTTTAGGGGTTCAATTGGGTGTTTATTAAGTTTGAGATCTTAATTGACTTTTCTTACATACTACGAGGACTTTTTTGACACTTTTTTCCCTAAAAAAAATGATTTGCCAAATCACAAAATATGATTTGTTATTAGGGCTGGGTCCGAAAAAGCAAAAACCGAAAACCAAATCAAATTATACCGAACCGTAGCCAAATAAAACCGAACCGCTAACAAACCGAAACCGAATGTAAAAAATCGAACCGAACCGAACCGTAGTTGTTTGGTTCGGTTTGGTTTTTACCCTTCAAAACCGAACCGAACAAACCGAACTAATTAAAATATAAAATTTATTTGTCAATCGTTAAGCATTAATCCTAACTAATCCTAATATCATTAATAGTCTTTGATTTTCTTGTGCTAGAGAAATAATGTTTGTGTTATGTTTAATTCAGTTAATAAATTCATTTACACATTCATTGCATGTAATAATGTAGCTATATTGAATGATGATAATGTGTTTTTACTAGTTATTAGTATATATTCATGAACTTTTTTTGAACTAGTCACAAACAATGTAAATTAATAATATATATACTTTTATCTCTCTCTCATACTCATATAATTCAAGACATATTTATTTATTTTTCATTTTTATTTATTGTGCTTGCATTCTATATGTAATATGTTTGATCCCTCAAAATATTTTATCAATTTTAAATCAAATGATAATTTTTTGGTAAAAACCCGAAAAAACTGAAACAAACCGAACCAATCAAACCGTGTTTCCAAGTTTTGGAGTGTGAAATCGAAACCGAACCGAACTTTTTACTTTGATTCTATATTTGGTTTTAGCTCAAAAACCAATCGCAAGAACCGAACACACCCCTATTTAGGGTTGGTTTACAACCACTTTAAAAAAACACTTCTCAGCTTTTGGCTTTAAAAAAGCACTTCTTATACCAAACACTACAATTTTTATTTTTCTCGGCTTTCGTGTCAAAAGTGCTTTTACTTTTTCTATTACACAAAAAACACTTATTTTACCAAACACTATCAACTTTTACTTTTCAAAATCACTTTTTTCTCAAACACTATCAACTTTTATTTAATTTCTCCCCATTTCATTAAAAAAACATTTTTTTAAATATTGCAAACAACCCTTACTATAGTTCTTTTTTTCACTTTCTTGCGTTTTAAAATCGCCATATTTCCCCGTTCTCTTTTCACTCTCTCGTGTCGAGTTCGTACTATTTACCGCTTTCTCTCTTTCTCGTCTTCTATGTATCTAGCCTACTAATTTGAAGTTAGAAGAGACCCCCTTCGTAATTTGAAACGCCTCAAAGTAGCAACTTTCCTCTCTTCAACGGTCAAAATGCATCACAGCAGTTTAGCTCGGGTATGTACAATCTTCAGCCGTCTTGATGCATTCTGGCGCTTATGTGCATAGCTATCTGCTTAAGAAGAATTTTCGCAAGAACAATGTTTGATACCCACCTCATACCCACCCCGTTTGTGAATTGTGAATTTTTTTTTTGTCCGAAAAAAAAGGCTTCACAAACGGGTGAGTACAAAAGTGGGCATAAGGTACACATTTTTGTTTTCGCAAATACCTATTCAATTATTATCCCGTTTTCTTCTTCACTTCCAATGCAGTCCTTACTATTATGGAAACCCGCATGGTTCTTGGAGTATGAAAAGGAACTCTTTTATTGGAAAAAGTTCCTGAAAGATAATGGGGCCATGGGGGTACTGCTCCACAGACCACAGTCATGCCACCCTAAATTTGGGAACATTATTTTATTTTGAATTTACCAACTAGGTTTTGCACTTATTCCAAGCAATAAAGATTCCAAGAACTTGAGAAATGTAGCTTTTTTACCAAAAACAATGTTGGTTAACAATTTTTTTCCCATTCCTCTATATAGTCATTTTGCACAAAATAAGTATTCAAACAACTTGCGTTTCCATGCCCAGCAGGTACTTGCAGCCTAATCACCATAAGCCTTCCCCGAGGAGAAGAGCGAAAGACTGAAGATGAGTCGATTTTTTCATACGGCATGGGCGCACTTCTGTAAACTAATAGTGGTACTGTGCTTTTATAACAACAGTGCTGGCATTAATAGTTGTGAGTATAATATCAATTCTGATTCTTTGTATGAATCAGAATTGGAGCATTGTGTTGTATGAGAGGTTGATTATTATTTTCAGTGTTTGACGTTGATTTTGTGGTACGAAAATGGACATTCACTTTAATTTGATTGTTTGGTTAACATGCTGTTTGAAAATTGAAACAGATACTTGTACAAAACGACCAAATGGGTATAGTAAGTATGCAAATATAGTTATATGATAGAGGGTGCCCCAAAAGCTCAATTAGTTAGATACTCATTCAGGTCCAAACACAGCTCTGAAATTTAAATGAAATCTTAGTGGTGCCATAATAATGCATGCAGCATGCCTGTACAGGTTTCAAGGCCTGTTGAGAATTCGTTGCTAGATGGAGCTAAAGCAGTTGCAAACCGAGTCTCGATAATAAAAGATAAGGATGGTAGGAGAATGAAGGCCTGTTGTCCTGTTTGTTTAATGGCTATCTCCGTGGACCACACCCTACAAGCTTCTGATCTGAGAATGTCACTGGCTATACACTTGCGTTTATATCACCCTGATGATATAAACTTAATTTGGGAGGTTATGCACAATAGGCAAAACTCGTCCGTACACATGCCCTCGTTCTTCCTTGGTGTTGGCATGGCTGCTGGAGTTGGAGCCCTCAGTCTCTTGACAAAAAATCGGGTCAGACCATCTCATAATAAAAGGTAAAAGGGCAGAACATTGATTACAGTGTGCTGTTGAGTCTCATGTAAATTGAATCAATCTTGAGCAAGCAAATGTGCTGCTTGGGAGTGATAGAGAAGGCTAAGCATGTTCTGTAGATGTGAATGTTTATGTATGTTTTATTTATATTGTTCAATTTTATTCATTATGTATTCGCTTGTCTGTTACCAGTTTTGTCCCTCCATAAAGTGTTGTTTCGATTGTTACATACTCTGTGTATGTTTTATGTTGCTCTCCGAGATGTTTTTATTGTTCTTGTCAGCTTTGCATTTCCATGTTCCATAAGTGGTGTAGCAAATGTGATACAATGAGGATTTCACTCATTCTAATGGTGGTGTTTGCTTGCAACGGAATGTGTTACTCATGGAAAAATAAAAGGAATGAGATTGACTCTTTTTCACTTAACAAAACAGAAATATGTTTTTTCCTTGAAAAATGTGTTTATCTTCCTTGAGAAAACATAAATTTAAATATAACGAATAAAATTGAACAATATAAATAAAACATACATAAACATTCACATCTACAGAACATTCTTAGCCTTCTCTATCAAGTCCCAAGCAGCACATTTGCTCGTTCAAGATTGATTCAATTTACATGAGACTCAACAGCACACTGTAATCAATGTTCTGCCCTTTTACCTTTTATTATGAGATGGTCTGACCCGTATTATGAGAAAACAAAAAAGATTTGGATTCTGTTGGAAGTGGATTTACTTTTTCTTGAAAGTGCTAATATTAAGAATATATTCACTTTTTCAGGATAATAATTATTGAGTAATTATATGGGGTAAGGAGAAAGTTATGGAATTGTTCAGGTAAATGATGTTATTTAGCGAGAATATCCTTTGGGTGATGGACTGATGGTTATGAGAATCACCTTATTAATTCACTAGAAGGGTGAATGTGGTGATTTTAGTTTCCCTGGACTATTCTCCACCCTCACCCCAAATGACATTATAAATTTATAATTCAAAGGTGGTAAATGATAATTATTCATAAGCTGTGTACAATTATTCAGCCTCGTTTTTCCTAAAATATTTTCAACTCCTTGGTTTTTGGGCATATATTCATGAAGGGAAAAGAAAAGATTGTGCACTATGCTCTATGATTCTCTTGGCAGGAAGTATTTTATTTCCGTCCATATGATTCCTTGGTTTTTGGGCATATTTTAGGCCAAGAACTTATGCTGTCACTCTATGTGATGGAGACCAGTTGTTCTGATCCTATCTTCAACTTCTTCCTTTTTGATATATATTCTCAGCCGGTTTGATATTAAAAAAAACATCCCTGCAAATCCGTCAAGGCTTCATCTCCCAACTTTCAACTCTTCACTTCATCTGCAATCCAGTTTTCAGTATGATCACTCGTCTTCCATATCGTTACATGATGGTGTTTATCTGCATGCCTTTTTTTTGCCTACTATAAAATTTTTTATGTGCCCTTTACTTTTTCCCATGTTCTTCGAGAACACTTTATTAGTTGATAGTTCTTAAAGTATGTATTGAGAGTGGGGGAAGGCCCCAAAGACTTATTTTGACTTCTATTTTTATCTGCATGTAAAGTTATTCAGGTAACTATTGCTTGCAACATACTTTAAGGACCTTATGCATTTTTTTTTTACAATTTTCCGAAAAAAATAGGCTGAAGAACTTGAGTTGTGACCGAAATCGGTCTACCCAATTAATGCTCTGGCTCGATCCTTACCTGTAACCGTCTATCCTACATACAGCAAACGAATCACAAAACATGTGCACTGACTCTAGGCTTCCTAGGCCTAATTGACCTTAATATGATATATTACCTCAAACCCTTATCTTGCTTGTTGATTTCTCTGTCCATATTAGTTTTGCTTAAAAATGAATGATTGTGCAGATGCATTCTTTGATGGATAGAGCAGAAGCGGTGGCGAAGACAGTGCCGATAATAAAAGTTACAGATGAAGGGATGATGATGGCATCTTGTCCTTTTTGTATGGAAGCTTTCCTCTCCCCACTGGTCCATGACCTGAGGATGATGTTGTCTGCACACTTAGCAATGCACTCCCAGGATGTTGAGTTGGCCTGGGAAAGGATTCCAAACAAAGAAAGAGAAAAACCAGGGGGTTTTGGCATGACTTCCTTCTTGTTTGGAATTGCAATAACTGCTGTACTTGGAGTCCTGACTGGCCGCCTCTCTAGATAGTAATTTTCGCCAGGGTTTTTACTGTCAAGTGATTTGATCTTCTGTGGGTATTTTAAATTTGCTCTGTGTTTTACTGATTTATTACTGCCCTTTAAAATACGAAGTACTCCGTAATCCGTATTGAGTATTCATCCTACTCTTGTTGAATCGTAGAAAGTGATACGCACATTAAAAATTCAATTACATGATTTATATTGAATTTAGGCTAATGGGTCAAATAGGCCCTTGAACTGACTTAAAGTGTTCAATTAGCCTCTTATATAGGAGGTTCTGCCCGGCCGGGGCAGTTCCCGGTGGAATTTTTTGATTGAAATTTTTTGAGCATCTTCTTAAGTCTAGTTTACTCATACCAAATTTCAGCTAAAAATTCAACCGGGAAGGCAGTCAAATGATTTTTTTGAAGATAACTTTGAAGTTAAACAGCGCAGTACATTTCGGAAAATCATTTGACTGCCTTCCCGGTTGAATTTTTAGCTAAAATTTGGTATGAGTAAACTAGACTTAATGAAGAAGATACTCTTAAAATTTCATCAAAAAATTCCACCGGGAACCGCCCCAATTAGCGACGGCCGGGCAGAACCTCCAATATAAGGGGCTAATTGAACACTTTTAAATCAGTTCAAGTGCCTATTTGACCCTTTATTTGAGCCTTTAGCCTTGAATTTATATGAAAAAAAACTAGGTGTACACCCTTTTGGTGTACAACTGTACACCTTTTGGGGCTTTTGTACACCCTTTATTTCTATTGGTGTACACACAATTCATACCAAAAAATACAATTCACCTTTGAACATCCTCATAAATAGAAGGGTGTACAAAAGGTGTGCATAAAAGGGTGTATGCTAGGAATGATTCTAAAAATATAATTACATTGTATGAGGCAAACTTGGTATATAAACAAAAAGGACATTATGAGACATTGGGACAATTATAATAATCATCACGCAATGCTACATTACTTAAACAATAATAATCATCAACAGATGATAATTACAGAGTATATGTCAGGGAACACGTAAAATTATACGGAGTAATACAAATACGTAGTATTTTTTTTTTGAAAGGAACAAATATGTAGTATATTACTCCATTTGTTCTCAAAAAAAGTTCTCACATTGACTTACAGTCTTACACATATTTATTCAATTTTGAATTGTTCATTTAACTTTTCCAAAAGAAAGTTGAAGGTATTGTTTTCCCTAACATATGCACATGCAATACCAAAGGAGTTCCACTACTTCCTTATTGACTAGGAAAGGCCAATAGGATGGAAGAAATGTCACACATGTAAAAACATAAATTACAAAATTTGTGATTAGCAGCAGAGGGAATTGTCGCAGATATATGAATTGAATCCACAATTGCTTAATATGTTTATACGTTCATTAAGCATATAGCTGCCAGCAGAGGTTTTTTCCCAACATAAACATTAACAATCTATAAATCACTTGACTTGCTCCAAAAAAAATGTAAACAGCACCTCATTATAAAAAGATCAAATACAATCTAAAAATATGATTAGGTGTGCCCCCCCAAATCAAGTTTTGTTTTGGGGGTAACCAAACATGCACACGATGAAGATACAGGGCAGCACCTCTTAGAAACTCAGATGCGAGCTTCCCCACCAAACTATGATTCCCTAACAGAAGTATGTCGCTCTGTTCTAAGAAGATGGTGCAATGGTAAACAAAGGCTGCAGAATGGAAAAATAATAAGTTATATACATAAACGAAATTAGCTCAAATTAACTGGGAAGAAATGTGTGTGTGTGTGTGTGTGTGTGAGAGAGAGAGAGAGAGAGAAGCATACTGTGCCCAAACCGACAGGCTTGCCATCTTCAACAAGTATCTCAACTACAGTCCCAGAGTGATCCGTCTGCAAAAGGTAGAGATGGAAAAAGAACAAATAACATCAAGAATGCATGTTATTCTTGACCATATCCATGTTTTGTATATATGATGCTCAATGTTGTCCATAGAAAGCATAAGCTGAACTATTTATATAAGAGCCAGGATTAGACACACACCTCAATTGTATTCATCAATTTCATTGCCTCAATGATGCAAAGCGTTTGCCCTTTACTGACCTTGTCTCCCACCTGGGAAACACACACATTTATTATTACTCTAGAATGACAATATTAATTTTTTTTAAAGGGTTTATGGAAAGCCAATGAAGGGGTGGGGTTGGGGGTTGGGAAGAGCAACTATGCTGCCTAGCCAAGATGTGGGGGTTAGTAGTGCATTGTAAAGCAATACAGTACATTGTGGGGGTCAGAGGAACGATAAATGGTACTCAAATGTAGAACGATGGCACCGTTTTGTAGCCTTCTCTGGCTGCTTATCACTATTAAGCACTACAAGAAGCTTTTGACTTATTTCGATGGAACAAATGCTTCAGAACGTTTTTTAAGAAAATTCAGAAGAGTCAATAATTTCACCCAAACATGCCCTATACCCATCTACCTTTTTTGTTTCCATGCTTGACTTTCTCCAGCCTCCCATAGTTGGAACTTGACCATTATATATAGAAACAAATCTAGCACAGGTTACTTGAACTTAGTTGTCGTTTGTTTTCAAGTATAGTGGTATTGTAATTTTGAGAACAAAAGTATAGCATGGGGACCCTAATTAGCAGTGGAGTAATAAAAAAATTGTAGAATAGATGATTCAATAATTGTAAAAAGAAAAATCATTTCGGGTTAGACTACTATTAGGTTCCCACCTTTTCGTCCTCATTTGTTTTTTTATTTTTGGTGTACGACAATGAATTTCTTTCCACTTTCAGCTCTTTCCAGCCCCACTTATCCTG